CATCGGCTGGCCCCCGCAAGTCATTGTATAGGCCACATCGCATTCAATAAGCCACTACGATTCTGAATGGAAGTAGAATGCGTGCCGCATCCCACAAAGGGATTGATCAACGGCGAAGACTTTATCCTTTATCCTTTATATTTTGCATTCAGGTGGCCTTCATTCATCTGTTGGAACAGTTCCGTCGTGCATATATTATGGACCAGGTACTTCTGTACACCTTCCCACGCAATAATGTCCATATTCAAGACCACTTTTCCAGATAACCAAATCAAGTCCCGGTGTACGACAAGCTGAACACCGAGCTGGGTGTATCTGACGAAACGGACATGCTTAGTGTGATTGTTCAGAAGATGTAAGAGCAGTGGATTTTTTTCCGTGGTTATGAATTGCCTCATTTACTGTTAATGTTTCAGTCTAACAAATTTGAAGTATTGGGCAACAAACGAGCAAATCTTGGAGTTATCGCTATCCCTTTTGAAGGATCTCTCCTTAGGATATACAGCAGTTCGGAAGCTGTTTCGATTGCAAGAAGTTCAGCTGCTTCTCAGTAACCACACGGTGAGAACAGTTTTTTTGTGGCCACGGAAGGGGATAGTAGGCGTGAGAAAGCGACCATACTTCGCCATAGGCTCGCTCGGTTCGCGCGAGTCGAACCATTGGGGCATCATAGCAGCAATGAGCGGGGTACGCCGCGCTCATGCACTGCAACGCTAGAGAGAGGGGAACAGTAGAATTGGTCGATTCCTATGCAATCCTTTGGCAAGTTCTCCCAATTTGTCCTTTGCAAAACTCTTTTATTCCCGTAGTCACCTGATCAATTCTTGTGCTTTACTTTGTGCGCCTTTTCCTTTACTCCTACTTTCCAATGTCAGAGTCTTAGCGCTGAATTTCTGCATGGCGTTTCAGTCGCACTTCCAGGATCCTTAGCCGAGCGAATCGCGCGATCTGAGCGACCAGTTGCGAAGTATGCGCACTTTGAGCGATATTTTACAAGTCTTCGGCAACTGTGATATCCCAAGATGGTTTCAGGCTGAACACTTTGTGTTCCTTGGGCAATCTGTACCATATTCGACAATGAAGCATCGTACCGTATTCTATGAGGCTCTTACACGTCTTCTTACCATAGACCTCAACGATGATGAACAGTTATTTGAACAGTTCATGCAACCATTAGCGGGTTTGCTTCAATGTCTCAAATAATTGGCAATTTTTGCCCAAATTCAAAATGGTTGAATTTTAGCTACGAGTCGAGAATTGACAGCAATAATGACCACACCAAACTATAATGGAGCAGTTAGTCAAGAGGAGTTGAAGGTTAGCTGCTTTCACGTGGTACCGTTCCTTTCAAAGCGACATAGACACCTTTTCAGAGAGTAGTCGTGGGATTGTGTCGTGATCTTCGAGGTGTGGCTGTCGCATGTACAACGAAGAATTTGTTCCAGATAGTGTTCGATT